TTAGCACCAAGACACTTGTTTCTGTTGGCTGTCAGACTGAAGATGATGCTTTCTTCCCGCAGATGCAGGCAGGCTTCTCTTTTCTGGTTTGTTTTGTTAGCAGTGCTTCCCACTTCAGTTACTGCTCCCAAGTTGATAGCTCAGCAGATACAACATTTGGGTAAAAGCTGGTACCGAACTGCTAGATAGGAGAGGGGACTCATTGGCAATATCTAGTCCCATCTGTGCGGTTTTAGCTCTGCAAAGTACATGTCTGTGTTATAACCTGCTGGGCATGTGTGATTCCTGTCTGTCCTGAAGATCACTTTGTGCAGCAGGGACTCTGTTTTCCTCTGAGGTGAAGAGGGGAGCTCCAAAACACGGGCTGCAGTTCTCCCTGCCATGATCTCTCTGGCAGGAGTAAAAGATGGCAAAATCTCCATACTGGAAGGAGTGAATCAGCAGCTTTCCTGTGTTTGCCTCTTTAGACGGGTGTCCACAGTGCGAGTGGATTTTGGGGAGGAGATGATGTGATCAAGAGCTGTGTTCTGCATCTCCTTTCAGGGATGGGCTGTATCTCCAGGGGTGTGGGAAGTCTTAATGTAGATGAGCAGTGCAGTGGTGTGCAACGTTATGTGTGCAGGCAGCTCTCAAGCAGTGAGCAAGGGAACACCTCTGCATCTTAAACTGTTGTACTTTCTAGGTGACCTCTGCTCCTCCCCTCACCCACAGTGCCAATCTGCTGGCTGGTCATGCACCCCTGGGCCCACCCACCCCTGAGAAGGCAGGACCTCCTTTCTATTTACTTAGCATGGTGTGCTCTTCTGGTCTATGAGTGTGCTGCCAATGCTGCTGGGATCTGCTCCTGGAGCTCCCTGTGCCATTAATGTCGATGGTATCCTGTAGTGCATGGTTTGCTGCTCATAGAGCCCCTGGATGGCAGATCTCACGGGTGAAGGGTGGGAATTTGAAGGGCCTTTGCATGATGAATTTAAGTGGATGCTGTGCTGAGCGTCCCCTGTGAACAGCAGACACTGTGTGCAGGAGGGGGAAACAAACCTCTTTTAGGTAGGGACTAATCTATGAGCTGTCGAGAAGGTTGGATCACCAGGTCAGGTGTCAATTGCAGTGCTCACGGGTGGTTGTGCCTGCACTGAGGTTAGCTGTGGCTCGCAGGAGTGTGTGGCTTCTACAGGCAAGGGTGAAGTCCTTTGGTGCTGCATGTTGAGTTCATCTTGTCTCCTTTCTTTCCATTTATGTGGCATGTGTGCCTGCCCTGCCTGGTGGCCACAAGCCCCTGGTTAGGGTGAGAAGGGGGTATGATTCAGCCCTCTTCCTCCTGCTGTGCTCTGCAGGAAGCCCTGGCTTTGTCCTGGGGCTCTGGCCTGGCTCTGTATGCAAAGGCCTGTTGTCTCTGTGAGAAGTCTCCTTGCAGTGATGTGCTCTGGAGACATTCACTCTAACTATTTGGTAGCAAATGACCACAGCGTGGTTGAGGGTTTGTTTTAGGCTCAAGATGTTGGAGTGTGGTGGGGGCTGCAAGTTATGGAATGGCTGGAAGGGAAGAAGTGGGGAAAAGCTGTGTGTTCGGCTCCGCTGGGAGTCATGCTGCATGCAAGGCAAGGCTGACATGGAGTGTGTGTATGTGTGTGTGTAAAAATGCTAAAGTTATGTATGGCATGAGAGTTTTTATACAAACAAGTAGAATCCAGAGTTTGTCATTGGGTAAACTGACTACAAATACAACCAGCAGCAGGATGGAGAATAGAGCTCCTCCTGTGGCTGGAAGGGCACGTTCTGCCAAGGCTCTGGAGCACTTCAGCATGTCCCTGCTCCCCTGGCTGTGCTGGCAGGAGCCTGGTGGGTTGTTCACGAATGTAGATTTTATGTCTGGTTTGATCTGTCCTCTTAGTAAGAGAAAACGTGTGCTCCAGACCACCATCTCGGGGAGGGACTTCTTTGGGTCTCTGTAAACCTGACAGTAGCTGTTGCAGTGCAAAGTCAGCTGAAATAATCTGTATTTCATTATTGCAGTTTGTCTGTGAAGAGGCTGCTCTCCAAAGAGAGCATATACTTTGTTTATAAGTTATGAACCTAAGTAAAACCTTTCTCCCCCTCCTCTGGGAAGCCTTTCCAAGCCGTGTGTACTGTGCTGTGGTGTGAGTTTCAGAAACAGCCTCTGAGACAAGTACCTTAATCCCCTTCCCCCCATTCCCATGCATTTCCAGCGGTCCCACAACAGACGTGGCAGTCCTTCCATTGCAGTCCTGTCTGCTGGGGCTCTGCTGCGGATGCACTGCCCTCTCTGTAGGTAAACAGCAGGCAACTTGAAGGGAGTTATTCCCTTCCTGCTTCCACTTGCTTAGCTCAGGCATGGGATGAGAGCCACCTGATGGGGGCCAAGGAGACATGGCAAAAAGGTCTGCAGAAAGTGGTGCAAAGAGAGGGAGGGGAAGAGACAAGGTTATTCTAGCTGAAAGGGAGGTGAGGAAGAGAAAAGGGATCTCCATCAGAGAGGAGAGAGTGACAACTAAGAGTGAGCAACAGCATAGGAATAGAGAGGGGTAGAGGAGAAGGGGCCCTCTGGATGGTGTCTCTGCTTTGTCAGCTGGCCAGGAACTGATGAGGTAGAGGGAGATTTTTGGCAGAGGCTTACAGAGCACTGTACTGGCTGCCTGGATGTGCTGGTGACTTCTGCTGTATGTGCAGTGAAGGAAAATCAAGTCCTCGGTTTACAGCTCTGCTGTTACACATCCCAGGGTCTCTGCATATGTCTCTGCATGGACAGAATACAGATGAGTACTTGATCCTGGCTCTCACTGGCTTCTGCAGAGAGTGTAGCTGTCTCCTAGCAATCTCCTGGCTACACAGGAGCCAGCCATGGGCAGCAACAGCAGGCATTTATCTTGTAAGCACAGCAGCACTTACCTTATGGCCTTTGTTTTCTCTTCCCTGCAGTTCATGGCACAAGGGAAAGCCGGGAGCAGCTCCCCTCCATCCACAGCCTCCAAGCCTGGCAGTCAGCTGGATACCATGCTGGGAAGCCTCCAGTCTGACCTGAACAAACTGGGTGTAGCTACAGTTGCCAAAGGTGTCTGTGGAGCCTGCAAGAAGCCTATTGCTGGGCAGGTGAGTCGAAGGTGCTGTCTCATTGCTGAATCTTGGGCTGCAGCTGGGCGTAATGGGGAGGGCTGTTTCGTGAGGCTGAAGAGGCTGGAGATGCTGGAGAAACTGAAGTACTCTATTTATCCACTGGCTAGGTACGCTGTAAGCTCCTCCAGTGACTTCTACCCTGCCCCTGAGGGACTGCCCTCTCCTGAGATGATAGGTAATTCAGTTTTCATGCTACCCCAGTCCAGGGCTCACTTGAGTAGTAGAACTTGCCATTCTTGCTGACCTCCAGCTGGTATCTTGTCCTGTGGTCTAAGGGAGAGTGAGATGGAGTTGTCCTTCATAATTTGTCTTCCCAACAGGTAGTTACAGCCATGGGGAAAACCTGGCACCCTGAGCACTTCGTCTGCACCCACTGCCAGGAGGAGATCGGGTCACGAAACTTCTTTGAGCGGGACGGTCAGCCCTACTGTGAGAAGGACTATCACAACCTCTTCTCCCCTCGCTGCTACTACTGCAATGGGCCGATCCTTGATGTGAGTTCTTTGAGGGGATTAAGGGTGCTGGCAAGGTGCTGCAGGCCTGGGTGGTAAAAACTCCACTCCACCAATGTGTCCTGGGTGGAAGATTTTGTTTGGGGATTTACTTTTTCCCTTTACCCTGGCTCTGAAAGGGAAACAACTTGTGTCAGTCCAATTCTTACACTAGTGAGAGGAGTTATCCCTCTTACCTTCACTGAAGTTCCTTCAGAACCCCACATCATTCTGATAATGATTCTTCAGCTTTTGTCTGTTGGTAGCCGGTAGTAGCAGGCACCAGTGCTAGTCCTGAGAGCTGGACGGGGCCCTGTATAAGGGAGGAAGCGGAGCCTAAGATCCTTTTAGGGTAAAAAGAAGTGTGCAGTGGGGAAAGCCTGAACGAGCCAGAGGCAGGGGAGAATTGACTCAGCTCTCTAAAGGACAGTCTGTTTTAATGCATGCTCTTGTCAGCACCACCGTTCTTCCCCCCACCAAGCCCCTCCTTACCTCCAAGCTGAAAGCCGTCATTTACGTGTCTTGCACTTTGTGTCTTCTTCTGAACAGAAAGTGGTGACGGCTCTGGACAGGACATGGCACCCTGAACACTTCTTCTGTGCCCAGTGTGGAGCTTTCTTTGGACCTGAAGGTATTGCTGGTTTATGTAAGGGGAAAACAACGTCGTCCCTGAACTCAGACAAGTGTGTAAAGCAGAGCTGCTATTAGGGGCCAGCCTGAGAGATGACAAGGGAACTACTGAAGATGGAAGTCCCAAGGACTATAGCTGTTTATGGGGGAAAGATGCTACCAGTAATCTTTTCTCCCTGGGGAGGAAGAGTATGCATGTGCCTGTGTGCACGTGGGACAGGAAAGGCAGCACAACGAGGAACTTGCTGTGTGTGTTAGCAGGGGGAGGATGATCCTACCCACACTGGCTACCCCTCAGAGCTTGGCTGGCCATAGGTAAAAAGGTGAGGAGCTGATGCACTTTGCCTCTCTTCTTCTTTGGCAGGATTTCATGAGAAGGATGGCAAAGCCTATTGCCGCAAGGACTACTTTGATATGTTTGCTCCCAAGTGTGGAGGCTGTGCCCGGGCTATCCTGGAAAACTACATCTCTGCCTTGAACACCCTGTGGCACCCTGAATGCTTTGTCTGTCGGGTAAGAAACCCAAGGTCCTTTGCTGCTGCTGTACACCCCTCTCATTTCCACCCTGCAGGCATCTGGGCCCTTATCAGGAAAAGGCGGCTGTGGGGTAGGGAAGGGCAGCCAGCCCCACAGGATAAAAACATGTCAGCAACCAAACACCTTCTTGTTCCTCTGCCTGTTTATATTAAACTTTCTTGCTGCTTTGCTCTTTCTGTTCCCAGCTGGAATTATGGGCTTCTGCAGCAGCTCACAGATAAACAGAGACATTTTCTGTGACCTTTAAATAATTATAAGCTAAACTTCTCTCTAAGCACTTGCTTCAGCAATCAGATTTTGAGGATCTTCCTCCCATGCTCCATCTGACAATGTAAACTAATGAGACTGACCTTGTTCAGGCAAACATGCAAGTCAGTGAAATAGTAGCAGGCTCCATACAACAGGCATAATAAACAGGAATACTGCAGATTAAATGCTTGGCACTCTTTCAGAGAGCATTGCAAATATTAACTCTTACAGGCCCCAAGAGATGAGCAAAATCAACCAGTGTTTTCTAGAGTGGGAAAGAAGGGCAGAGACCAGAACAAGCAGCCAGAACCACGAGCTGCCGATTCCTGGTGTGATGCTCAGGCAGCTGCTTCTATTAGTGTGGCCAGCACCAATGTCTTCCAGGACATGAGATGTGATTCTCTTCCTGGTTTTGCTAAAGCTGAGTAGACTTTTCAACTGTCCTGCTGACTGAGAGAGGAAGCTCTTTATTGAACTGACTGTCAGCATTAGAAAAGCCTGGGACTTGCTGCAGGCAAACTGCATTCATCCCGGTATTGCGAGCGTTCAGCTATCCACGGCTCTGCAGGCTGTTTGCTGGATGACTCTGTACACACTGGGGCCTGGCTCTGTGTGATACTCTGTCCCCTCCCTGGGGAAGAGGATGGTGTTGGGGCTCAGCAAAACCAGGATTCTGGAAGTTGGCTTCTCCTCTGGGCCTTGCTGCTGGTATGTTTGCTAAATCTGGCAGCATTCTCAACTCCCACTCACCCCCTGCTGCCCCAGTTTCCCACTTGTACAAGGATGGGAGTCTCCCCAGCCTTGTGGGATGGTGGGTGCTTCTGTTGCAGGTTCTGAAGTGTGGCATCCTCAGCTGCCTGGCACTGAGAGGGGTGAGGAGCTCTGGGCACTAATAAACACATAGCTGATGTATCCTCTTCTCCTCATCGGCTCAAAATCATTAGCACTGTAGAACAAACAGTTTCTCCCGGTAGCAACGCGTATGTACCTGGTGGAGATGATTCAGGTTTGATGATCCTGCACGGTGTTCCTGTGTAACGGCAGCCATTCTGGAGACATCATTTGTAAATATTAATTCTGCCTCATTTTCTCAGCTGGAACCAGTCCCACATTCATCAGAGTTCTGCTACATTAAAGTCTGTGTTGGTCCCTGCTTCTACTGCTATTGTGGGGAAGCTGGAGTTGGATTAAAAAAATAAACCAGAAAACCCCCAATGTAACAAAACCCAGCAGGGAAAGGTGCTGCACTGTTTCCCATCTCAGGGTAAGGAGCGTTCTCCTTTCTCCTGGCTGGACACGTCTGGTAGGTCATCTGTAGTATTTTCCTTGTGGAAGTGAAACCAGCTTGGGGAAGGTGCATGGTTAATTCCCTTGCTTATGGCTGTATCTGCCTGTCTGTCAGCCTTTCCGTGGAAAATCTTCTTGATGGACAGAGTTAGGCTCTTTGGACAACAGGATGATGCTGAGAAGCAGCAGTTCACCCTGGCCACAGTACAGCTAAGCTGTGCCACAGAGCAGAGGAGGCTTGTGGAGCTGCCTCCATCCCCAGTTACACAATCTGTCCCCTTGTGCTTTATCCTCCTGCAGGAATGTTTCACACCATTCATCAATGGCAGCTTCTTCGAGCATGACGGGCAGCCCTACTGCGAGGTGCATTACCACGAGCGCCGCGGCTCGCTCTGCTCCGGTTGCCAGAAGCCTATCACAGGACGCTGCATCACTGCTATGGGCAAGAAATTTCACCCCGAACACTTTGTCTGTGCCTTCTGCCTCAAGCAGCTCAACAAAGGAACCTTCAAAGAACAGAACGACAAGCCCTACTGCCAGAACTGCTTTCTCAAGCTCTTCTGTTAGAGGCATCATAGATGGGCGCTAAGCATCTTTCTGCCACCCCCTTGGCAGTTCTGTCTCTCTGAACATTACTGTGATTTAGAAACCTGACCAGG